CTCATTTCATAGTTTTTGGCATTAGCTAATATTCGTTTGATATTAAGATGTGACCTTTCTTACCTTTTCTCATGTGTGTGAAGGGGGTTATTTTTCAGATACACTTTTGCCCATTCCTTTTGGTCTTTGTGAATCACTCTGCTCTAGATGTTTCTCTTGTGTATAGTTTGCTTTGTGATCCAGTTTGAAAATCTTTTTCATTTAATAGGTTAATGGAACACATTGACAGTTAGTAATGTAACAAATGCAATTGGCCTTTGTTCTGTTATTATTAAATGTATAAACTCTCTCCTTTCTAAGTTTTGTAGCTTGTGGTCTGTTTACTTTTTGCCTATTTTCTTCTGTAGAAGGTTGCGGGAAGGGTAGAGTTAAAGTGGGTTTATTGTCCCTCCCTCTTTGGGGTTGCCTGAGGTAGTTTTGACCTGGCCAGAACTCTTAGAAATATTATTTGCTGATCAAATTTACCAATTACAAGATAAATGAGGGAGTTGCAGGGTTGCTTCGTACTGAGGTCTTGCTTTTTATTTTCTGTTTTTGACAGCTCACATTTTATCTCCTCCCCTGGGTCCTTTCATTTCTACTTGGTAATCTTTCTTCATAGTGGCAATTGATTTCTTAAGGGTTTCTTTTTTTTAACTCACGGCAAAATACTGGGTTACAAAGCTTTTCTGGTATTCTTCATCTGATAGGTTTTGCTGACTTTTTAAATTATAGCTTTCCACTGACCCTTGGTCAGCTACCTTTTATTTTTCTCACCATTGAATTAGTTGAATTTTCCCAACTGTCCATGTGCAGGTGATGGGTACTTTTGTTAAGTTTTTTGTTTGTTCATTTTGGTGTTTTCTGACGTTTATCATTGCTTGCTGTTTACCACGCATTTTCGGCTCCTGTGCTTATTTTGTTTCCTGAAGCCCTAATTTTTGGAAACGTTTATCTGTCTCTAGTTTTGCTAAAATCGTGTTTCATTTTAGCATTAAACACCTCATCCATTGCTTTCTTATGACATACAGAAGAAAAAGATTACTGATTCACACAAACATGTTTACATTGGAAATCCAGGTGCATTTCTTTTCAGGAAGTCCTTGAGTGGAAACCTAATTATGAGACTCTCATAAAAGAGTTGGATTTCTCTTTGGGAATGGAGCAAAAATGATACACATCTGACCATTTCCCATCCCCCAAAAATGAGCAGGCATTGTTCTAAATATAAACCAGGACTTGTTCTTCAAACTAGCTAAATGACTGACTGTCTGGAGGAAAAGCGTCCAGCACATCTGGACTTTTTGTTAACTCATGGCCTACACAGATGCCCACAATTGTCACCTGAGCCAAGGCACACATTTTTATTACCTTTGAGCTATTCATCAATTTGAGTGTATTCGTTACTTCAACCTAGCATAGCCAAAATAATACATGCCATTGACACAAAGAACAATAAGCCTCTATTTTATAGTTGGACTTCTACAGGTCTTTTAACAGGTGGGAAATAGTGTAGACAGACATTGACCCAGCAAATACCAATTCAGGTCCTGCCTGGCTTTAGAAATGAGTTAGTCCTGGCTTTCAACATTGAAGTGGGTTTCAGCGGGAACAAGGAGTCCATTTATTTTTCAAAAGATTAAGCCCAGAACATTTGGGTGGTGTTGCCCATGGGATCAGGAAACCTCCAGGTCAGGAAGTGTCCAGCTGAATGATATCTTCAGTTCAAAATACACAAAACTGTAGCTGGAAATTGAGGATCCCACGTTGCCTGTGAGTCATGGAGGTGAAACAAAGAAGAGCTGTCAATGTCCAGAGTCAGACAAGGTAGCAGAATCAAGAACCCCAGGATGGCAGGTCAATACGCAAGTCAAGAAAGCCAGTGATTCTGGCTCCTGACTCAAATCCCTGCCACATTTCCTGCTAATTTGAAATCTTGAGCCACTTATTAATGTCTTGGGGCTGATTTATTTCCTCTATAAAATTTGGATAATAAGGCTCTATATCTCAAAGTGTTTTGTAAAAATTAAGTATCTAAAGGGCTTCACTGTCTGGCACATAGTAGTAAGTCGGTAAATGGTGACTGTATTTTATTAAGCTGAATGAGAAGGATGATGGAGTAAATCTGGGGGGGATCAGGATTCAGCACAAACCGAAATCTGACCAGAAAAGGTTGAGAACCAGGGCTTTGCTCAATACAGAGATTCCATCTGAAGCCGTGGCCTTTGACATTTGGTCTTGTTCTGCCTGGATTTGAAAGGTCCACACACTATGCCGGTCTCCCTACAAGCCTCTGTGACTTACCAAGCCGCCAGCACTGGCCAGACAGCACATGGTAGGATCCTGGCCAGTCACATGGGGGAGATGGCAACAGCAGGAACCACTCATCGGTGAGGAAGGGCACCCTAAGACCCCCAGCCCTGCAGGGGAACACTAGGCAGTTTCAATCCACTGAGATTTACTGGGAAATAAGGAATGAGAAGTAGAGTGTGCATGGGTGTCAGAATCGCAAGTGCTCTGAACGTCAGCTGTGTCGCTTTTAAGGTAGATCCCGAAATCTTATTTTTTTTTTCTCATCTGTAAGCTACTATTGCATTATGGCTAAATAAGATAACATGTGATCTTATAAAATACTTAACAGGGCATAGCAAGGTAAATCTTTAACACACGTCAATGAAGTGGGAAAATGGTTTTTAAGGATCTGTGATGCGGGGTAAGTGGCTGGATGAGAACAATTCGGTTTTTTTCTAAAAACAACAGTTGGAAGCATTGTTGGTTGTGCCCGAACACTTAACAATGTCCACTGTGTGGTGAGTTTGTTCTGCTGCTGCTGAGGACCTTTGAACTCGTGGACTAGTGGACACTCCATCCAGTTGGGCCACTCTTGGAGCAGCTGTGCTTTAGGGACGGCTCCCCTGAGTTCTTGTCTCCCATTCCCTCAGCATTATCTCCTTGTCCCCAGAGACACCGTATGTCCCCAGGAACCTTATGGGCTCTATAAGGTTCAGATCGTGATAGCAAGAGCCAGGAAGAAGCAGAGCAACATCAAAAAGCTCCATGATAGAAATCCTTTACATCTGAGTAAGGAAGCAAAGCCAGGGAGGTCGAAGGGTGAGTAGTAGGAATGAGTGAATTCTACATGGAACGTAATTTTGACTGTGAACTCACCTGCCTGTGATTATAGAAATTGACTTCAAGTCCCCAACCTGTGAAGAGAGGAATCTGAAGGCCTCAAAATACCCCTAAGTTGTTTTCGGGTGTTCACAGTGAGGCTGACAAATCAGCCCACCCCAGTAATGACCACTGAAGTCCACCTTTTCTTCTCCTCAAGCTGACATTCACTGTCTGCAAAGGCAAGCCGAGTCTCTTGTCTCTTCCAGGCCCCTGTCACTCCCACTTGCTGAAGATCTAGAGATAGAACCTTCTGGATTTTTACATACATCCAGGAAATAGGTTTTCAATGGTGTCCAGAGCAGAATGCCCCAAATCCCCACAAGTTACCTACAGTTATTTAAAGAGACAGTTAAGGACAGATGCTCCTATGGTGACAGCCTCCCTTTTCACCCTCTCTCCAGGAGCCTCACTTTTCTTCATAAATGTTAGGAGCAAGGAGAGCAGTTTGTTTGGAGCAGGAGGCCGTCTTGATTGCTCCAAACCCATTTTAGCTAGTAAGCCCTTGGTGTGTTGTCCCAGCGACTTGGGAGAGAAGAGGAAGTGACTAAGGAAGGCAACACGGACCATGGCAGGGCTCCGAGCTCTCACATGCCCATTCAGGATTTATGCATGTATACAACACCAAAGGCCTGCTTCCTGGGTTCCTCGCTTGTTCCCACCCAGTTCCCACCTCCATCACGCTGTCCTCTGGACCATCCCGCAGGGCTGCTCACTTCTTGCTAGCATCAGGCTCCCCCTGCCGCCTCCTGTGGGGAAAGCGATTTGACCGCCTAGCTGCGCATGTTCAGTGCTGTGCTACCCTGTGTTGATGACAGATCTGTTGTTGGTTGTTTCCTGCCAATTTTGTGTAAAATTCGGACTTTGCAAATAAATATGTTGTTATAGGCACGAGCTGGTGTTAAACTGGCCATTTTTTTTTTCACTTCTTACACATTTAGTTCTTATAGACATCAACTGGTACTGTCTTGACCTGTTTTTCCACTTGATTTTTGTATATTTGGTTGTTTTAGTGTAAGTATGTTTTTCCTTACGTATTCATGGTCAAATTTACCCCTCAGCATTTTACTTTCTTTCTTCACGTATTTCCTTTACTTCATTTTTAAATCTCTTTAGAAGTTCAGTTACAATCTAAATTTTTGTGGCGTATTTTCCCTTTACTTTATATTTCTCCTATTACTTTTTTTAAGCTAACTTTGATACCTCTCCTTCACTCTTTAATAGTGACCACTTGGTGCTCTGTTTATCATTGTCCACTTACCTAACATTGTCTGACATCTATAAGAGTTTCTTCCCTTACAGTGAGTCATAGTGAGCCCTGCTGAGGGTAGAGAAGCTGGTTCTGCTTTGCCACCTGAGGCACACGGACACGTGGTAATAAAAATAGCATAGAATGAGGCTGCAGAGCCCCCCTGCACAGAAAAAAGCAGTTGGATAAATGGCCATAAACATGACATAACTTGCAATAGTGCCCAGACACTACTAGCTGATGAAACTCAGCGTGGCTTTCACGGGGAGAGGCAGGCGTACTCTTTGTAGCTACTGCCGGCAGACTAAGGAAAAAGTGTGACTTACAACCCCTAAGGTCATCCCTAGCAGCAACGCAGAAACCCCGATTCTCTCCTATAGGCTTGCATCATTTTCTAGCAAATGAACCACATTTCACGAAGATCTTTGATACTGTGATAATGTCCTGCAATACTCACTTCTGACTGTTTTGTCTCCTCATAGAAAAAAACAACACGCTGCATTTTCAAACTGTGGGTTATAAATTCTCAAGTGTCGACCTCACATAATTGGGATTTATTGATACCCAGCCTTTTCAGAAAACAATGTCAGAAATTCAGGTGTGTTTTTCAGGCAATTTTATTTCATCTTCTTTTTTGCATCCTATGGACTTATGACTCTCTGATGCCCTAAGGCGAACTGGCTTTCTCTCAACATCTAGAATTCACAGACTAGTTCTGATTATTTTCCCTAGCTCGAGGTATGGAATCAACTATCCTTCCAATGGGCAGTGGTTTCTCTTTTCAGAGATTTGTTTTAGAAGCCACTGGCACTGGGTCTACAAATAAGCTTGTTCCACATTCCAACTGGAATTTGTCAGGATGACAGCAAAAATATCCGAGAGCACAAATCACTGTAGGGACAGAACGGATAAAGTCTCCTTTTAAAAAAAGGTCCATGGGTTCTTATTGACATTTCTAATTTACTTCTATTTTAATCTGTTCTTTGCCTTACTTTAATAAAAAGTTTATAAATTCATTTTTTCAACTTTTGAGCAACTAATTTTTCTTGTTTTCATTAATGTTAACAATCACAAAGAGCCATATATTGTCATGCCGAATCACAAGTGTAATTTCAGTGCCACCATCCCAAACTTCGGGCAGTTCGTATCTTCTCTTCTTTCTTGACCCTCAGCTCAGCCATCCTGAAACCAGCTTCACAGTGTGCAGGTCCCACCCATTCTCTGATCAGCATCACATTAGCACCAATATCTGAAAGGAGGAAGCCCCAGCCTCCATCTAGGTGAACACCAAAGAAACTAAGAGCTCAGAACACTTAGTATGATACATACACAGACACCCTGTTTGCTTAATAAAAGATAGTAATAGGCCAGGCACAGTGGCTCATGCCTGTAATCCCAACGCTTTGGGAGGCCAAAGCAGGTGGATCACCTGAGGTCAGGAGTTCGAGACCAGCCTGGCCAACATGGCAAAATCCCATCTCTACTAAAAATACAAAAAGTTAGCTTGGCATGGTGGTGGGTGCCTGTAATCCCAGCTACTTGGGAGGCTGAGGCAGGAGAATTGCTTGAACCCGGGAGGCAGAGGTTGCAGTGAGTTGATGTCACACACCATTGCACTCCAGCCTGGGTAACAAGAGCGAAACTCCATCTCAAAACAGACAAACAAACAAACAAAAAAAGACAATAAAAGGTCATTCTAGGCAAATGCTACTTTTCAAAGTCACAAAAATATTATCTGTCAGTTTTCTCCATTTGAGGTCCCCAGTTTGAATTTAGTTTATATTCCTTTTTTATTTTTTCTTGTACTAGTGTCTCTGTATATTTATAGAGCTGAAATTTTAGTAGTAAACTCTAACTTCACAGAGGGCCATGGATACATACAGTGGTGCACTGGTGCTGGCCTGTGCCAGTTGACAAGAGTTCATTGTGTGCTTCTCTTCCCAATTCTGCATCAAATTTGCTAGTTAAAAGATAAATGGTAAATTCCAGATACATCATGTTCATAGCTTGAAATATGCATTGTAGGCTAGGTGTGGTGGCTCACGCCTGTAATCCCAACACTTTGGAAGGCCAAGGCAGATGGATCACCTGAGGTCCAGAGTTCGAGACCAGCCTGGCCAATATGGTAAAACCCCGTCTCTATTAAAACTATAAAATTAGCCAGGCATGGTGGTGAGCACCTGTAATCCCAGCTACTCAGGAAGGAGGCTGAGGCAGAAGAATCACTTGAACCTGGGAGGTGGAGACTGCAGTGAGCCAAGGTCACACCATTGCATTCCAGCCTGGGCAACAAGAGTGAAACTCCATCTCAAAAAAAAAAAAAAGAGAGAGAAAAAGGAAAGGAAAAAGGAAAAAGGAAAGGAAAGGAAAGGAAGAAAGAAAAAGAAAGAAGAGAGAAAGAGAGAAATCTGCATTGTGGAAATATTTACACTATGGCAATTAGCAATCTCTATAAATTAGGACTTTTTACCCAGAGACCCAATCGTTGGGTATTTACAAGGATAACTCTCTTTTTTTCCCAAAATTTTTCCCAAAACAAGTCAAAACATCAGAACATAAAATCAGTTAACATTCAGAATTATCAGTCATATGCCAGACATTACGGTTGAAAATTCCCACTCAAAAAGTTTACACAGAGTAGCTTTTGGAACTTTATGTAATTGCAATATTTACTAGTAGTGTGCCTCAGAACCAATCCTTAAAAGACAAAAAGAAAACTGGATTATAGCACCTTTTAGTTATAATATCCAAGGCACATTACATTTAGCTATTCGCCTGTTTCAAGTAATTGTCAGATAGTTTTGATTCATCCCCAGGTTTTATTTCCACAACAGACAGAGAATTCAGTAGTTTCTTGTCATTTACATTTCTGCACTAACATCTAACTTTTTGCATGAATTAATATGCACTATACTCTCACCTCCACAATCATTCCATAGTAAATGTATGTTTTCTGGATGATGTGGAAGAGAGAGCCCAGCAAGCGCTGACTATGGGCCTAGCTTTGCCAAAATCTAAAACAGGCCAAAGGGGTATTAAAGTTCTTATTAGGTGTGCGTTGGGCCGGGCCAGTAATTTGTTGTCACTTACAGTGGTCTGGCATATGTTTTACCACCACCACCACCCTGCACCTCACCATGTTATTCCCAGGAAGATAATGGCCTCAGATATCCCAACACTGGAAACGCTTCATAGAAGAGGTTACCATTCTGTTGTTTATTTAGCACCTAAATTTAGGCAAGAGAAACATTTCTGCCTGAAGATTACATCCAGTCAAATTTTCCTGCCTTTTTATTGGCATTTCCAGATAGCCATGGTATCCCCGAGTAAGGAAGCCAGGACACTCTGCCCTCACCCTCCAGCTGCCTTGGGACAGTACTTGCCTGATTCCTCTTCCTGGGGCCATGGCACTCTGAGCTGTATTCCACCTGGATCTATCACTCTTCCTCCCTACTCTGTGGCATTCTCTCTTATCCTAGCCCCGTAACTTGAACAAGACTTTGTCTGACATTGCCCCCATATTTTTACTTGCCTCTTAAACTTGGCTAGGGATGGTTGTGCTCACTCAAGGGCACAGAGCCATGGCCTTGTTGGATCTTTTGGCATCTGACTGTGCTTGGCCACAGCAGTTCCTAGCACAAGATGGTTCCTAATGCTCTTTCTTTCCTGTAACCTAAGCTTCCCTCGACCCTAGTACTGTCCATGTTACATCCCTCCACATTCTGCAACATTCTATTTTCTTCTACATTTTCTTACTTATTACTAAAGGAGGGTTTGGGTGGAAGGATGTATTTCAACTCTTTCCCGTTTTTCTCCATGTCAGAAATCATCTGGAGCCACAGGAACGAGACCAGATCCAAGACTGAACCCAAACAAGTATTTTTGTTTGTAAGACGTATAACCTTGAAGATACCCCAGGCTTTTCATCTATATTCCATCTATCTCTTCAAACAAGTATGTCCACCTAATATTGTTAACCATTTATAGATAGCTTTCTGTTATTTCTTCAAACCAGGAGTTGTTTAAAAATTTTTTTTCCTGAAAGGATAGCTTCATTTTGGGGATACCCTTTTACTTTGTTGTCACTTTTATTCTATTGCATTATAAGGAAAGTGTGAGACCTTACAGCTTCTGCTTACTGGGCAATATGCAATATACTACTGTGCTTTGTTAACTTATGCATAGGACATTATATTACATTTGCCATCTCCTATTTGCTTTTTATGTTCCTCATTTTGTGTTCTAAATTTATCTATTTAATGTGTGTATATCTGATTTGTTTTAACTGCTACTTAAGATTTTTATTTATGAATATACCTCAGGTGATTCACTCATTTTATTGGTGGACATTTTGGTTAAAAATTTTTAACTCTCTCTTCTCTTTTTAATGCCAAACAATGATTCATTGAACAGATTTATGTGTCTCCTTTTTCTGTGAATTCAAGTTTTCTCTAGAACGGGTGCCTAAAATTGTAATTGCTTCGTCACAGGTTATACAATTGACTCCTTTGCCAGTATCCCCAGATTGCAATTTAAAGGCGTCATAATAGTTTATAAATTCTCATCAGTAGCTTATGAGAATTTTCCCCACATCTTTGCCAACACTTGACTTTTTTTTATTTTTGCCATTTTGATGGTTGTGCGACACCTTTTTTTCCCACGTGTCCCTGAAGAAAGACATATATCTTCAGACTGAAGAGACTTGAGTCCTGAGCAGAATGAATAACAATAAATCTACACTTAGTGACATCATAGTCAAACTTCAGAACACCAAAGACAAAGAGAACAATCTTAAAAACAAGGAGAAAACACAATTTACTTACCATGGAAGGATAAGCAGACTGACAGCAGATCTCTCAGTGGCAATTATAGAGGTCAGAAGACAATGGGATGGCATCTTCCAAGTGCTAATGGGCAGGAAAACCTGTCAAACTACATTTCTACATGCAGCTGTTCAACCCACAGTAGTTTCCCCAGTGATTATATCCGAGCACCCCCAACTGGCCTCTCTCCTTTCTTCACAAAGATATTGCTCCTTGACCAAAAATGGTGGGTAGGTGTCTGAAGGATGGCAATCCCAGTCCCTCCCCCTCTTTATGATAACCCCTCAGAAAACATATTTTCATCTAGGTGTGCTAACCTTTAGATTAAAATATTTTTAATGTTTTTAAATTCTTCTTTCTTTTCTTTTCTTTTTTTCTTAGCCATCAGGACTCTGCAGGGATAAATTAAAACTTATTTCCCTCAGTTTGTACAATTGCACTGTAGGAAAGGCAGGTCAGTCATTAAGAAACTGAGGCACAGATGGGTTAAATGACTTTCCCAAACTCATACAGCTAGTGAGAAATAAAACCAGTCCCAGCCCAGTTTTTGTTACATAACTCCATGCTCTTTCCAAGATTACAGCGTTCTTGCCCATTTTCCTGACACTTTCTTTGAGCCAATACTTTCAAAATGCCAACAGCTAGAAGGTGTGTTAATGTACTAAATTTGCTCTTGTGGGAAGGTATTAAAATTTAGCAAAAAGTCAAGATTTAGGCCATATGTTAAGAAGAAATTGAGTGTATGTTTACGAATCAGATAATGTTTTTAAATATCAAAATAGATATCAGATTATACTAATCTCTATACTATTTTGAGAGGCTAATATACTCCAATGAAATGTTACTTTATAAATATTAGTTACAGATAAGCCTATATAAAAATGCCCATAGAAATATCACCCAGGGCAGAGGAAAAATGATTTGTAACATCCAGGGATTTTAGATTAGTGATTATCGTTTGGTGAAAGCCAATTTTTTGTTAGCTTAAGTAGCACCAAGCACCTTGATCATGAGAGTCACTCTGTGGAATAGTGGCCAGGGTTCTTGTGGAAGATATGACTTGTATCGATCATCTACTTCTAGATACTCTGAATAATGAAAGCAGAGGACTGCAGTGCATCCAAAACTCACTGGTCACAGCAGAAGTACTCTGCCCATTTCTTTTGCTCCAAATGGATGACATTAGTTTGCACTTGGTCCTAGGCTAGCACAGGGTCTCTAGCTGCAGCCCCTCAAGTGCTTTATTCCCCACTAGGGACCAGGACATGTAAGTCATATTTTTGCCTAAATCACAGATGTAATTCTTGAATAACTGATTGAGCTGGAGGGCAAAAGCAACCTGAAAGTTTTAGCAAAGGGGTTGGCAACTTACTGCAAATCTTAAAGCATATGGAACCTTTTATGTAAAAGTTGATACTGTGTGCATCTTAAGAGATACTTACTTTTATAATAATTACTTTCTTGCTATTATAATTATCTTTTAAAAATGAATTACAAAAATGGAACATTTCTAGGCAAAATCTGCTTATTGTAGTAGAGTAGAAATTAAACCAAGTCCATACTCTGCCAAATCAATAGCATCATGGCTTAAAAAGCAATCAGAAGGGGATTTAAGGCCATGCTTTCAAAACTGTTTCCAGACATTCCGGGAAACAGCACTCGCCCATACCCAATAATTGGGGGGAGAAATGAGGAACAACATCAAGGCATAAAGCCATGGTTCTTGCTCTTATGAGGTTTACATTCTAGTGATGGGGGCAAGTAATTAACAAGTATGCAAATAAGTATAAGAGCAAATGCAAATAGTAAATAGTGCTATATAAATAAGCAACTTTTTTTTTGTTTTACTGTATGAGCGCTATCTACATGCAAGCTTTATGCTAATTGGTTGATTTTTTTTATTGTCTTGACTTGTAAAATAAAGCTTAGAGACCTTCAATCCTTTGTCAAAGCTCACACAAGTAATAATCCTCAAACAGAAAATCCAGGTTTCTCACTCTGAACCACCTTACATATCACCTCTCCCAATGACGGAGAAGCAATAGCAGCTGTGGTCAACTCCTATTTCCGGTGAGAATGTGAGACCTAGCCTGATCCCATACCTTTAGTCCAGACACACCCTACTCCCACACCCACTCACCACCACAAGACCATCAACCAATTAAAGTGAGCACCTGTCAACACAGGTTATGTGCAGTGCACCTGTGATTCTTGGCATCAAGCCCCATGTGGGTGGAAGAGATGGTAGCATAAGAGGAGAAGATGGTATCATACACTATGCTCTGAGGTAGCTGCAAGAGTGTCGGCATCAAAAGTTATGATTTGGATCCTCTGCTTTTTAGTTGGAATTTTCATTTTTGAGTTTTTACATTCTCAGTAAAACCCTAAATGACTTTATCTTTAATACTATTTCATTATTTACTGAATCAGCAAATATTGACCCTGTCGGCCACAGCAACACTTGTGATGAGTGGACTTGCCCATGAGCTTGGGAGCAGACACTTTTATTTTTAGCTTTTAAATATGTTACAAATATAGAAGTGTTTAGTGCTGCAGGGTTCCATGAAAGGTGGGCTCTGAAAGAAAAAGCATTAAGAGTGAAGAGCAAAAGTTGCTTAGTCCCTTAAAACACTTTAAACAGGAGGCTCAGATTTTAAGACAAAATAAATTCTATATTCACATACACACATAAGCCTGATTTTTCCCCTGTATAAATAATGTCCTGGTATAACGAACTTGGCTGTTGCACTCCCTGTATGAGAACGTCACTATATAACATTGCTCTAAATTAGTTCTATCCTAATGGTACCTTAATGTTTAGCATACAGAGCTGCCTGGACAGGCGTGTGGCTCACACCTGTAATCCCAGCACTTTGGGAGACGGAGGCCGGAGGATTTACTTGAGGCTAGGAGTTCAAGGCGACCTTGACTAACATAGTGAATCCCTATCTCTACTAAAAATACGAAAAATTAGTTGAGTGTGGTGGCACGTGTCCATAATCCCAGCTACTGGGGAGCTGAGGCATGAGAATTGTTTGAGTCTGGGAGGCAGAGGCTGTAGTGAGCCAAGATTGTGCCACTACACTCCAGCCTGAGCAACAAAGCAAGACTCTGTCCCAAGAAAAGGAAAAAAATGGAGAAAAAGAGAGAAAGAGAGAGGAGAGCTACCTTGAGAAGCAGAAGCAGCTTTATAAAGCCTTGTTGGGTGAGATATGTACACTGAAGTTTTTTCATTTTCACAAGTACTTGAGTTTTGCAAGTCATAAGGGAGAAGAAATTAGTGTGAATTGCCAGCCAAACCTCTGGCACGGGTAAGGACCATCCTAAGGTTTACTGTATCAGGAGCCATGACCTCCTGTCAGCATGATTTTGAGCAAGGAGACATAGGGAATTGAAGGGAGGAAATTCACCTCTCCCAAAACACAAGCAGCAGAAAGAAGAAAGCTACAAGAAATAAAAAGATCAATCTCTTTCCCTCTCTCTTTCTCTTCTCTCTCTCTCTCTCTCTCTCTCTCACACACACACACACACACACACACTCACGAACACATTTGGTACTTTGGCACCAGATGCTCCCTCCTCCTTCTCTAGACTGCAGAAATTCTCTTAATAGTACCCCAAGAGCTCACCAAAAAGAAACTTAGGCCAGAAGAGGAAAAGTGTCACATGAGAAGCTGTGTTCAAATATTAACTGAGGACTTTTGAAGACTTAAAACAATGCAAGTAATAGTAAGTTAAAATTGTAGTTGAACACAAGTTAAGGAAGCAGATTCAGCAGTGATAGAACTAATCCAACGTAATCTAATGTAACTGTGTCATCAGACCATTTGGGAATTAGAGAGACTGGGAGAAAGAATGCACCTGGCTGTGGGTCAGCACCCTTACCAGGCATCATTGCTGGCGGTCTGATGGTAGGAAGCTGTGTTAAGTCAGCGTAGGGCTGGTTTGGGAAGAATCAGAGTTAACAGCCAGGGACAAGATCTGGAGAGAGAAAGCATGAAGCGGGTATAAGTCCAGAGCAATAAAAATATAGAAAGGTTGTTAAGTAGCTCTGCTATGAATCTATAAACCAAGGTCTGCAAATTTAAGTTGTAAAAAAAAAAAAGAAAGTTATTGTGATCCGAGATGTGTGTGCATTGAGGTGAAGAAAGAGATGGAAAATAGGAGTTAGAAGAGAAGGAGGTGGCAGTACAGATTGTTTGGAGGGGTACGTGGAGGCTGCAGTAAATAGAAGGCTGTGGCCTCTTTCTGCCCTTAACTGCTCCTGTCCCACCCTCTACCTACTGAGGTAGTGAGCAGATCCGGTAAGATCTCAAGTCTCAGAAAGAAGCTGTGGTTTAGGAAAATAATGCATTGTAGTGATGAATAGATACACTAGATAGCTGAAACCAAGTGATCTTGATCTTTGAGTCAGAGGAGAAAACTCCTAGGAAAGGAAATGAACTAGATGATTTGAAAACAAAGGGTTAACTGGCAGATTACCATGGTAAGAAGATGAAAAGGTAGGCTCATCAGACAATGCCAAAATCCATATTAACAAGAACTGGAAAAAAAAAAAACGATGCCATTTGTAGTCTAAGCCAAATAATTGCCAGCGAGGCATCAGCTGGAAGAAAAGAATTTTAAACTTGGAAAAATTTGTTTTACTGCAGCCAGTCGATGCTCTAGTTGAAAATAAATGCAAACTCTTGAAGCTGGCGGTAAAGATCCTTAATGATCTCCATCGGCAGAAAACGAGGGCTTTGCTAAAGGATCTGACTCAAAAAGCTCCTAAGCTCCAAGAAAAAGAACAGAAGCTGTCAGCTCACAGGAAAAAGGGATGTTCACAAAGAATTCAGGAAATGGAGGGTGAGTTATAGTAAAAGCAGATTATGTGAAAATCTGTTGACTCTCCATGAGAACAAAAACAGGGCAGGATACCAGGTCTTTTCTTTTTATGCATCAAGATTTCTTCCAGGAAAGAAGGATGCTGCCTTCCTAAGACAAAAATTACAGGCAACAAACCCAAAGATCAATGTGCTTAAGAGATTAGAAAAATCAAATCAAATCCAAGATCCACTAAATAACTTCCATCAGTAAGATGT